GCGTTGAAAGTTGGGTGTAGATTTCGAGCGATATTTTAATGAAAAAAGTGGTTATTGTGCGACAACCTTAATAGATAGATATATGCTGTCGTGGACTTTTATTTAGCAAATTTATAGGGCTACAATTCTTCCATGCATCATTTTTATGTAGGTCTTATAGTTTAGGCTACGTAAGCAAAGAAAGCAAAAATGACCCGAAATTTCGTCGCGCGATTTTGAGCTAAACTATTTAACTACGTTGTAGTCTTTGACTCCAAAAATCAAACAAAAAAATGGGACCCACCTGCAAGCATTACCTTTCGGATAAAAAATGAATTATCAAAATCGGTCCACTAGCGGCGGAGTTATGCCGTAACGCACATAAAAAAAAAATAAAAAAAAACATACAGACGAATTGAGTACCTCCTTCTTTTGGGAAGTCGGTCAAAAAGTACTTAGAATGATTATTAAAATGTTATCCTCTCGTTGTCTCTCTTATTCTCAATAATGTATCCCTTTCTCCCAAATATTCCTTCCACTAAGTCGCATAAAGATTATATGGAGATAAACTGCAAAAATCTTTGCTTCAATATTTTACCTAAAACACTTCGTCCGCCCGAAATTAAAAAAAAAAGTTGCTATATGCCTTTGCCTGCTATATGCTATATGCCTGCCTATATGTTCTTCCAAACTATGTTCTACATTTGTGCTTTTCATCGAGATCCGTGAAGCCGTTTAGAAGACATTGTAACATCCATCCTTCCAAACATTCGTAGTTATAATAAAGTATGATGAATGAAGTATACAACTATGATTTAGCCATTTTACATTCTTGTTCTGTAGAAAATGTAGTGTATTATGTAAGAACTCTTAATTAATCTATACTTATATTATGAAGACGATAGATTTGTGTCTTAGCATTTTTGTATGTATTGAAATAATCCAAAAAATAAAGGGTCGATTTTAAAAATTATTTCACTGTTATAAAGGTATTTTATCTGTGAGTAACATAGGCTATGCTCTACATTATTTTTTAATTCCATGCGGGCGGAGTCGCGAGCAAAGCTAGTTAAATATAAAACTACTCCGGAATAATACATATCGAACGACATCTAATTTTTTAAATTTAAAACTTCATACTAAAAAATAAAGCAACTCATACATTAATATCTGCTTCCGTTCACGTTACTAAATATTGATATTTGATTATTACAGCGAATTTCAAAAAATTCCATTCAATTGTTACAAATAATTTACACCTGTATACAAACAGCTTCAGTTGGATACATTTAGGAGGTCATTATGTCATGCCTACGACCACAAAATGCGAAATGCGTCAATGTATTCATTGTCAATAGTTTTTTTACCCAGAATCCGTTGTTTATCTCTATAGCATGTTTTGAAGATAATTCGGCGGGAAAAACCGTTTTACATTACAGAATTAACTACAGTTAGATGGCCACAAAAAGTTTAATTGTAATTTTGAAAAAAAAAAAAACGTATAAAAACATAGAAATGTTATTGCCATGACGAAATAAAATTTAAGTATTGTTTTATTAATGTTAACACATTCTAAACTCTACTTCTTATGGGCTTCATTTTTTTTTACAATGGACAGTCAGCACAGAAAAAACTACCACAGATAATACAATAGACAAGTTAAGGCTATTCCTTAATTCTAAATTACATTTACTGGTTTTGCAAATAGCGCTACAACACGTGACAGTTAAATCTGTTTATTAAAAAACATCAAAACAAATCACGGAAACGATTTGGGAAAAACATTTACCAGAAATCTATGTCAATCTGCAAACACGTCTGATACCAGTACCAAGGTAAGTTTATTCTTAATGCGACACCGATTTCCGTTTTAAAATTGTCAGAATGATTCATCCTTTAACTTAAAATGTACATTATGTCACCCACAAATCGTGTTCACACGGTAATTTGTAATTTGTCTAGATACTCGTAATGACGTCATCGACGTCGGCAAAATGGCATGTCAAATCATTCTCAAACTGACACTGAGCTATATTTGTAAAATCCTAATTTGATCTAGAATCTTAATTTATATTTGCTGTCTTATCTGTCCTCTGATCAGAATAGATATAAGATCAAAGGCAGAGCTTAAATATAGCTGGCACCAATTCATTTATGGAATATACCGAAAGCTAACTGTGGACTATATTAATCTTTATTGACATAGTAAAATTACTGATTCATTTATGTTATGTATTGTGTACATTAGAAATTAAAAATACTTTACTACACTGCATTCACATGTCATCTAGGAAATGCAACGAAATTCTTACAATTTTAGCATTTTTCCTGTAATCGCTTATATACAACAATGTAATAAAATTTATTACACTTCCAGCGCAAATTTCGTATAATTTAAACATTTACATTCAATCAAAGGAGCTCAATTAAAATATTAAGTTATTGTTGAAAAAAGTTCATGGCCATCAAGCTTGTAGAGATTGAGAATTATAATATTCGAATTAAGTATCTTTTAATATGAGCAAAAACATAATTCTTTCGAGAAGCACATGTTACATTGTAGTTTTTTTGACCGACTTCCCAAAAGAAGGAGGTACTCAATTCGTCTGTTTGTTTTTTATTTACGATTTCATGATGTAGCCGGCATGATTAAGTGAACAAACGTGAATTGGACAATTAAATAATACTTTTTCACGAGATTTTATGAATAATAAGAAAATAAGGAATTAACGGCTGTGAAATGCAACAGCAAATGGAATTACAGTACAAATTAGGGGCTTTTATTACTTTTTTGCCTGTATCTAGGATATGTGCTAGTATGTAAAATGCTTATTTGCTGTGTAAGTTTAGAGTTACCCATTTTTATTATGAGTGCAACCAAGTAGAACAGAAAAAACTTGTTGCCGCATTCTGACGCAAAAATATCCTATTCCTATTGAATTACTTTTTATTGTTGCAGCACAAATGTTTACATAATTATGTACTTTAACCATGTAAAAAGCGTTGGTACTGGGCGAACATACGTATGGAAAAGTCTAAGAACCCTTCCTTAGATCCAAAGATGCTCAAGGTACTAATGCTCTTTATTTATGTTTTTTATGCCTAATATTGACACCGTAATTTAGCAAAAATAATATTTTTATTAAATTATTTAAATTTCTCCGCCAAATTATATTTTGAACAACTTTACCTAATTATTTCTTTAATTAAAAATGAGCCTTCGTGGTTAAAAAATTAGGCAGGACGGCGTCGTACAAAGCTTTACAAAGTTGATTTGTCTCAAAATCCTTTCTACTGTTCCCGAAAAAAAAATTGAGCTTAATTTGAACGTCAGTGTCAATTTTAAACTTCAAACTTCAAATGTCAAAACATGTCTTGTTTTTGGTCTTATTCTTGCACGTGTGATTTGATTGTTTAATTTGTTTTTAATAATTTAAGTAATGTGTAAATAAAATTATTATAAAATGTTAAAACCAAAAGATTTAAGTGATAATCTCCCTGGTTTCGAAGACGTTGAGAAAGATGAAACGACTGAAACTGAAGTCCACGAAAATAAAAAGAAAAAGAAGGGATCCGGTGGTTTTCAGTCGATGGGATTGAGTTTTCCAGTTATTAAGGGAATAACTAAAAGAGGTTACAAGCTACCGACACCTATACAACGAAAGGTTAGATAAATTTTACTATAATTTTAACCTAACCTTAAAAACAAATACCTGTTTAAAACGGAAGTGCAGCAATCATTTTGCTATGTTTCAATAAAACATTCTTGAAAATTTAATTAATCCTCTATGAATATGTGTTTTTAGACCATACCCATCGCTTTAGAAGGTAAAGATGTTGTTGCCATGGCCCGGACTGGTTCAGGCAAAACCGCTTGCTTTGTTCTACCTATTTTGGAGAAGCTGTTATCGCCTACTAACAAAGCTCAGCCAGGAAAGAATCTACGAGCCTTAATTTTATCACCAACAAGAGAATTGGCTTTACAGGTATGACCATAAAAAGGCTAAATAGTTTTTTTTAATTAACAATATTTTACTTCTTTTACAATTAAGGATATTTAGGATATGTAACCTTCTTATCCTAACCTTATCATCATATGTAGTGGCATAAATATGCTAGTTAATTCAAAATATGTTATAAGACTTTAAGGTTTGTGCGTGAACTGGGCAAGTTCACTGGATTGACGTCTGCTGCCATTCTCGGAGGAGAATCAATAGAGCAACAGTTCAGTGTGATGTCGGGGAAAGCTCCGGATATTGTAGTGGCTACTCCCGGACGTTTCCTACATATCTGTATTGAAATGAGCTTGAAATTGGACAATATTAGTAAGTAATTGAAAAAGTTATATAAGAAATTGTTGTTATTATCTATCTATACTATTATAATAAAGTGTAAACACATACTTCTTTGTTGCCTAAGATGTGAGCATTCACAGCATATTTTTGAATAGTTCTTTTTTTATTAAAAAGCCCTACATTTACGTCACGCTTTAAGCTATATATTTTCACGCCATCAAACTTAGTGGGTAAATATTTTGGATCAAAATCTGAATGTGGGAAAGAGTATAAACATAAGTTGCTGCCAACAACAAGAAAGCAATTGTTATTTGTGAATTTGAATTTTGACATTTCATACGGATGAAGCACTGAAACAGCTAGTGTCAATTATAAAAAAAGAATTCTTTTTTTTAAGGTATAACTAAAGATATAGTTTATCATGATAATTTACTGTATTTAAGAAACAGATGAATTAAATAAAGGAAATAGAAATTTAAATAGAATTATAAATATCTTACTTTCAATAAAGATTTAATAATGGTTAATTTGTAATTAAACATCTTAATAATTATTAGTTGCTTGAAACTTTGCCTGTATGTAATTAAAAAATATAGCCTTTGTTACTCTCTGATATGCTAGCTTTTTGACAGTAAAAATATTTTTAAAATCGGCCCAAGTAGTGTTTGAATTATTTCAATAATAACATAAATACAAATCTTTCCTCTTTATAGTATTAGTATATCATCATGATTTTTCACAGAGGTAATGGTATTTGATGAAGCTGATAGACTATTTGAGCTAGGTTTTGGTGAACAGCTGAGAGAGATAGTTGCAAGATTGCCTTCGAGTCGGCAAACACTCTTATTCTCAGCTACAATGCCTAAAATGCTTGTCGAATTTGCAAGAGCGGGGCTAACAGATCCAGTGTTAATCCGTTTGGATGTGGATTGGAAGCTACCATCAACCTTGTGGCTGGCTTGGATATCTGTGAGAGCAGAATTAAAGACAGCTGCACTGTTGTTACTTTTGGACCGTGTTCTAACACCTTCAACGCCGCAAGCGGTTGTTTTTGCCGCTACAAAACATCATGTGGAATATTTACATCTGGTAAGTTAAAATCAAATAATTTTTCATTAGAACAGTACTTAAATTAGTAAAATAGTAGGTAATGACATGTATGTGCTGTCCAGATGCTTCCCCCTACATCTATTTACCTCTTACTAACCATAACATTATGTTCTGTGGAGGAACTGTTACAATATTCTAAAGAAAAAATATTTGATGACCTATAGAAGTATTAGACTGCTGTTTGCATATATATACCCAAAACTGCTCAACATAACTTGCAACTAAATTTGGCACAGCTGTAGAATATGAATAGAAACTACTTGTTTTTTTTTTTAAATCCTGCGCAGATAAAGTTTCTGGCAAAAGCTTGTAAATAATAAAATATATTGTTGAAATTAAAATTGAAATTTTTGATATCTACTATAAAATGTGTTGTATATTTTAGATCCTACAAAAAGCGGGTATAACCTCAACATTTGCGTACTCAGGCCTCGATCCCTCCGCACGTAAGATTGCTTTGGGCAAGTTTACAAACAAAAAGTGCTCTGTGCTGTTGGTGACTGATGTAGCGGCTAGAGGGTTAGATTTGCCCGCATTAGATACAGTGATAAACTACAACTTCCCCGCTAAACCTAAGCTGTTTGTACATAGAGTTGGTAAGTAAATAATATTGTTTATCTTTGATTCTATGATTTTTTCATTACATGAAATACGTAACCGAAAGAAAGATGTCTTTAACATCAAGCTTTTCAATATTGTTAAACTGTTTTAACTTTCGTGCGTCAGTACTATTGCTTGTTATTGGATTATTCACAGTGATCTAGCATTTTAATGCACTTATTACCCTTATCTTATATATCTATTCATATAATCCATCTTTATTACTCACGTGCCTAGGGCTAGGAGCGTTATCGGCCCTGGGCGAGATGTGCTATTAAGTGCAATAAAAACCCACGGAAAAAAGCGTTCGTGCGCCCTATTAGCGGCGCCCTGGGCGGGTTGCTCTACTTCGCCTTGCCTCAGGCACATGTAACATGTAGGGCGGAGCGCGCGCGCGGGGCGAGCGGGGCGCGCCTTCTCGCTGGTGGCGGCGGAGGACATCGCGCACCTGCTGGACCTGCAGCTGTTCCTGGGCGCGCAGCTGCTGGCGCCGGGCGCGCAGTGCGCCGCCAGCTGCCCCAGCGGCGTGTGGGGCGCCGCGCCCGCCGCGCTGCTCGAGCTCCGACACCAAGATGTCCTCGCCTGGGAGAAGAATTACTCGGAGATTGTACGTTTATTAGAATCGCTGCCGCTTATTGGTTGCTTCCTTACTTGTACAGTTGGGGAAACTGGCGGTGTTCCTTAACAGCTACAATCGTTTGGACATTTTAAAAAAGATTGGAACTAAAATCCATCGGCTTATACTCTGTACGAAAAAAAATCAGTTAGAGATACATTGTTTTTTTTTTAAATTATTATCCCTTTGTTTGCACTCACTCTCTAATTCTGGAGATATCTTCAACAAACATCCATCTTAACATTTGCATTTTTAATGTTAGTAAACAAGCTGTTCCCATGCGGCTTCATCCGCATGAATTAATTAAAACTTTATATTAATGTTTACATTTGTGGAATTCTCAATTGCAAATGTCAAAATTTAAATGCATAAATTTTTTTTTTTTTTTTTTATAACATAAGGTGGCAAACGAGCAAGCGGCCAACTGAAACCGCCAAAATGGCGAAGCGACCGCTGCCCATAGACATCCGCAATTGCAGATGCGTTGCCTACCCTTATAGGACGGAGGAGGAGACGCACATAAAGAGGATATTTCCCCTTCCTATGCATCTCCTCCACCGTCAAATCCACTTCCTCTTCCCAAACTCTCCTTATAAGAAAAGAGTGGTAAAGAGAAAGGGACTTAAATTAGGCCTCCGGCACCACACTCATCAGACGAAACACGGAATTGCTTCCATTTCACGCCTATCTTCTGTGTGGTCGTGGTATTACACCGGGCGTGCCGGCCCATTCGTGCTAAGATGTTAAAGCGGGCACTACCACTTTTGATGACAACCAAGGACTTTGACATTGGATAAAAATTACTGTTACCATGGCAACCTTGCTTCTTTGATATCAGCTTTAGTTTTTGATCCCTTTCCCACATTAAGGTTTTGTTCAGTTTACTCTGTATCTGAATAGCATGAAAGTATGTATCCTGAAGCGTGTCGTAAGTGAAGGGCTATTACTAAAGTAAGGGTTACGCAAAAATATCCTGTAATTGTTGACATCTTAGGCCACAAAGTAATGTGTGTTTACGCTTTATTATATTAGTATTACTATACTATACTTAGAGAGATATGTTTATATAGGAGGAGGCAGTGCGAGTGTGCTCTCGCGGCTGGCAGCAGTACGTGCGCTGGCGCGAGCCCGCCTCCGCCGACGGCAACAAGCGCGCCAAGGCCACGCCGTCGCCCCTCGCGCCGCACCCCTTCCTCCTGGACAGTCCTACCGCAGACGACGCCGCGCACATGGTCCAAAACATCAAGAATTATACACCTAAAGGGGTCAGTTTACTTCCATAACTAACAGTTTTACTTGCCCTTATCCCTAAAAAACCGGAATCGGTACCGCACCGGAGTCGCAACACTAGATCATTGGCATATCCCTTCACTATGATAGCTGACAATGTCAATCTGAAGTATTAAGGATTAGCTGTTGCTCGTGACTTCGCCCGCATGAAATTGAAGAAAGTGAAAGAATTTTTAAAATCCGCCCAGTAGTTTTTGAGTTATTTCAATACATACAAAAATACAAATCTTTCCTCTTTATTGTAATATAGATAAAGTATACTATGTGACTAACCCCTACATCTATATCTATACTAATATATAAAAAAGAAAAATTTGTATTCTGTATATATTGAAATAACTCAAAAACTACTTGGCCAATTAAAAAAAATCACAATTAAAAAGCTACGGTATCAGTGAGTAACATAGGCAATTTTTTTTATTATTTTTTAATTTCATGCAGACGAAGTCGCGAGCAACAGCCAATATATATAATTTTATCAAGATCCGTTCAGCCTTTTAGGCCCTAACAAACATCCATACATCTATCTAAACTTTCACAATATAGTATTAGTAAGAAATATGTTTGTTTTTATTATATTTTACCTATTTCAGACGATATTAGAGCTAGGTGGTAAGAACGACTCGCCAATGTTCCTCGCGATGAAAGCAAAGCGACGTGTGCACGGCAACAAAGTACAGAAAGCTAGGGAAAATAAAAACAATCAGGTAATAAATTTGCTTAACACTAAGCTTGCTGACATCGAAAGTAATTTAAGTGATAAATTCTTTGATTGTCCAACTCCCTAACCACTTATGTTACATCTAACTTCTAAGATTTTTACTATTTTTTATATTGTTTACATTTTTATCCTTATTTATTGATTTTCTTATTCATGTTCTCTTAGCGATTATCATGTCATTTTTTACATTGTTCATTTGCGAAAACTAACATATCTAATTTTCCCGTATAATAAAATAAAATAAAAATAATATTGATCAAGTACCTAACGTATACTAATATAAAGAGGAAACATTTATATTTATGTATATATTGAAATAACTCAAAAACTACTGGGGCAATTTCCCAAAAAAAACGTTGCGTAAAAAAAAAATATATTACCAGTAACATAGGCTAGTACTATTTTAAATTTCACGGATACTACGGACCTATAAAAGAATTTTTATATTTACTATTTATTTATTGCTCTACAATTTACTATATTTTCAGGTTGGTGATGTTTTAGAAGACACAACTAATATGAAATCGGCTAAGATATCTGAAAATCAGCCGAAGAAGAAACGAAAAGAAGTTGTTCGGGATGAAAACTATATACCACATTTTGCTAGCGACCAACACACCGAATCTGGGTAAGACAGAAGTAACAATTTTTATTTTCATTTCATATATAACACTCTCTTGTTTCTTTGCTGCTTCTTTGTCGCTTGCTTCTTTGCTACCTCATAATATTTAGAGTAATTTTATTTTTTGTAAGAAAATAAAATAGATTTCAGACTTAAATTTGACCGTACGTCCAAAATAATGTGTTTAAAGTGGTCATTTTTTTCATTAACAAGCCTAATAATTAGGCTTTCTACGAAAAATAAATAACTTCAAAACTACAGAAAATGTGGCAACATTCTTTGCGATTCAATAATAGCTATTGAGGTTTTTTACCTCCATAAAACCGTTGATCCGACCGTTAAGAATCACCCTGTAGATTGTGAATGCGAGGGCGGGGAGAGGCAATGGGGTAACGTGCGAGGTCCGTGTGCAGCATGGCGGTGAACTTCTCCGTGGGCGCTGCGGGCGCGGAGCTGGAGCTGGGCGCGGACAGCGGCGAGGCGGCGCGCAGCCAGCGCTCGCAGCTGCGCTGGGACCGCAAGCGCAAGAAGATGGTGCACGTGGACCCCGTAAGTATCACACACGTCCGTGCTGTACGTATTTCTCAATGTGTACATACAGTACGTGCTTTCTATAACGACACTTTATGGCGTTATAGAAAGTTAAATGGAGATAAGAAAAATCAGAACCAGAAAAAGAAAAGTTTACATCAAGTTACATATATAATAATAATTTATTTAAACACTATTGCATATAGTCTGCTATTTTTGTCTGACGTCTTTTGCAGCACCAGTATTTATTTTGTACTTTTTTACTTATTTTATTCAAATCTCGCAATATTGAGTCATCTTTGCGATAAAGGACAAAATAACGTACACAGCTGCGCAGTTTTTACTAATTTTAGCAACTTAAAAAGTATTTTTTATTACTATATTGTGGTCGTTATGAATGGATGTAATGCTATTTAGAGTGTATTATTACTTATATTATACAATAATAAAAGAAAAGCTAAACCATCCAAATCCTATTGATTTTGACGCTTTAGGGAGTTTGTCGTTGAAGGAAGTTACGTGGAGTTTACACTGTATTTGTCAATGTGTACAACTAACTTGTACATATTTCGATTTGGTACATATTTATCAGTGTGTACACCGATTTTGTCCGTATTTGTCAGTGTGTACGATCTTGTACATATTTGTCAGTGTGTATAAGGATGTAGATATTTGTGAATTGTCGCAGGACGGCGGTCGCAAGATGATCCGCACGGAGAGCGGCGGGCGCGTGCCGGCCTCCTTCCGCAGCGGCCGCTACGACCACTGGAAGAAGAGGAACGCGCACCACGACGATGACGACGACACTGCGCAACACAACACCATGAGACCAGGTACTGGCTTCACTCGTTTGTGATTCAACAACTTTGAAAGACTCATATTGAGTGTTCATGCTAGTATTTATGTTTGGAAATCGAAATGCTCTAATGTTTATTTAAATGTGTCAGCAAATTAGCTTGAAGCTTTTCATTTTGGTGTTTTTTTATGCATGTATAGTAATATTATGAATGCGAAAGTTTAGATAGATGGATGTTTGTTGATGGCCTAAGTGGTTGAACAGATTTCGATGAAATTTGACATAGATGTAGAGAATAGTCTGGAAGAACACATAGGCTACTCTATTTTTTTATTCCACGCGGATGGAGTCGCGGGTGAAAGCTAGTTTACTATTATTTTTAACTTTAATAGATTCTTTAAAATTGGGCATTTAATTAAATCTTTTTTTTTTAAGTTTTTTTTTTATATTTTAAATGTGAAAAATTACTCGTTTGTAGCGTCCGAATTCCGTCCTCACTGGGTGAAACACAACGAGCGCGTTGCCAAGAACAAGTCTGAGGCGAGTTCGCGAGAGTTCCGCAACAAACAGCAGATAGTGAAGGAACGCATGCGCAAGGAGAAGATCAAACAGAAACTAAAACATAAAATGAAGAATAAAAAGAAGAGGAAATGATATAGTTCAATAAATAAAAATGATTATGTTTTATTCCTGACTATTTTTTTCTACCTTTTGCCATATATACTTAATATAATAAAGCACAATTTTGAATTAAAAGCCTTACACAGACGGCGCGCTATAGACATAATATTTTCACACTAATTTAGGAAGTGGATAATTTGAAAAAAAAAAACAGGCGTGAAATGACGAAGCTGCACGGGAACAGCTACTTAATATCATCATCATCATCATCACCAGCTCACTATACGTCGCCATCGAGGGGCTCGAAGCCCACCCTAAGTAAGGGGTGACTAGGACATAGTCAACCACGCTGGCCAAGTGCAGATTGGTTGACTTCAAACATATCTTTGATTTTGTCCGCCGAAATGTGCAGGTTGCATCACGATGATTCCCTTCACCGTAAGAACATCGGGTAAATTATGTACATATGGAAAATCCAAAAAATCGAAAATCACATTGGTACATTACATGGCGGAATTTGAACCCAAGACCTGTTGATTGCAAGTCAAGAGCTTAAACCACTGAGCCATCGACGCTCCTTAATATACCATTTAGATATTAATGGATAGCTTTTTTTAATTCAGACTTAAACGCGGCTTGATCTTAGTTTTTATCTATCCGTATTTTAGTTTGAATTCTTGTCACCACTACCGCGACCGTCACCGCACAAAATAGAGAAAATCGAATAGGCACTAAATACAGGTCTTATAGCCTGTCCATTTATAGCAGTGACGTTATTGAGTTAACCTTTCTGGCAATTACAATTTACTAGTTATACTAATACTAGCTTTCGCCCACGATTCCGTCCACGTGGAATAAAAAAAACAAAAGTGAGTATCTTATGTGTTCTTCCAAACTATGCTCCAGATCTATGCAAAATTACATCCAGATCCGTTCACCCATTTAAGCTACAATTTCTAACATCCATTCATCTAAACTTTCGCATTTATTATATTAGTAAGATTATAAAGAGAAAAGATTTGTATTTTTGTATGCATTGGAATAACTCAAAAACTACTGGTCCGATTTGAAAAATTCTTGCACCATTAAAAAGCTTTGCTATCAGTGAGTAACATAGACTATGTTTTTACTATTTTTTGAAGTAGCGAGATACAGCTAGCACTGATTAATTGTGACAATATCGAGGATCATTTCAACGAGGAAAATAGAAAAAAAACTTCCGGAAAAAATTCATGATATATGTATATTATTTAAAAAAAATTAAGATAAACATTAACGTTACCTACTTACAATTATCTGTACAGAATGATAAATAACATGAATTAATTTAGACGAGAAATTACAATATTTTGGGACTTTGGATGCAATAGACACATTCTTAACCAGATTATAAGAGCAAACATATTTACAGGTTAAATTTCTTTATTCTAATAAGAATATTCATCAGATTAAAATATTCAAAGGTACATTCATTATTACAAGCTATCTACATACACAATAATTCAATCGCACCACAATATTATATTATCTTAAACACATCAAAAAAGTGAGTCAAAATGGCGGGTGTACCATTGTCAAATTATACCACTAACCAAAAGACATGTAACTTGAATGTACTATTTAGTACACGACTAATAAAAGTACGTACTTTAGAACGAAATTATAACGATATTAAGTTACACCCGCCATATTGACTTAAATAACTTAATTTGGTTATAGCATCGTTCTGGAACAGGTACTTTTTTTACGTACTAAATAGTACATTTTTTGTTAATGGGAGAATTTCAATCGGTACATCCGCAATTTGACTCTCACAAAAAATTACTAGTACAATTACTGCCGCATTCAGATATTTCCCGTTGAGCCGATAGGCATAAAGATTAAACGTCCAATGGGAAATTTACCCCTTTGAGACGGCTCAACGAGAAACATACATTTTTGTATACACTAAAGGGGCCCTTTGTATAAATCCATACTAAAGAAATCCTAAGTGCAATGCCAAATGCAGCAGTCTTAAAATACTTATATAAAATCAGATTACACAGGAAACATCAAAAAATGCAATTAAAATATATCCATGGCTTCTCCTGTCAATATGGAGTTTTACTGTTTATTAAGAAATGCAGAATTAATTGTAAAATTATCAAGAACAATATTTAAAAAACAAATTAACACAGAAATAAAAAAAAAGAAATAAAATTGAATGCTTTTAAAGGCCACAAGAATAGGTCGCTATAAAACCTTTACCAGTGTTTATTAAAAAGTAGATAAATGAGGTTATAATTTGAAAGGTTTCGATTTAAAACAATTTTCAGGAATAGTTTTCATTCTCTTGACTATAATACATGAAAAATAACTGTATATAGGACAATTTAACACATGTTCAGAAACTTTTATAACATAATATCGAAAATAATTCAAAACTTATTACACAAAGCGAAAGATTATATACTTTAATATTGAAATTACATAAGGGATAATTTATATAAAAGCTGATTTAGTTATATTTGCCACACAATAACATATATGGAAGTTTAATAGGTTATTTTAAAACTATCTTTATTTTAATATTAAATATATCATCATCTCACTTCTAACTTCACATGTATATTCTTAGTTTTTTTTTTAATCGCACTCATAATTCGAAATTCACATACAATTTTAAAAACTATACAAATTGGGTGGAGATTAAAACTAAAATCATTCTCACATCTGAAACAATCAGTCTTCTCATTGCGAAAATTAATTATTCAATTTTCATATATTTATTTACATTTTTGCATACCGTTTTAAACCTAAAAGTTTGTAATTTCAACAGAAATGGAATTTTTTAAAGAGAATTATGTACATTTTTGACTACAGAGGTTACGTTACATACGTTCAGTGTTAACTGTCAATTAGAACTGAGCGTATGTAGTTTTAGCATGATTTATTAACAAAATGTCGTCCAATTTTTGTCATAATTTCTACAGAGATCTAAAAGAGACTACACGAGACTACAATGGACGGGACCAAAGTTAAAAATGTGTCATTTCTCTATATATCAAATATCAATGAAATTACAATTCAAAATATGTCAAATTAATTATTAGTGTAAAAATTTCATTCGAAATTGTTTTCTTTAGAAAGAGAATATTTAACCAAATAAAAGAAATCAACAAAACAAATCAAGCATTTGATGGCATATCGAAGATTTAGAGAGGTTTTTTGATGGTCAGAAAATTTTCTTTTGTAAATATCGCAGTTAATCACCACTAACAAATACCAAAGTCAGATAAGTTCGTCACCAATATTGTAAGAGCCGTGGTTATCGTATACTGATGTAACTTGACGTGAACATAGTACAGCAGGCATAGTACACTGCTATAACTTGTACCGTGGCCATAGTATATTGTTGTTATCATGTGTCATGGCCATGTTATACTTTTGTAGCCAATATAGCAGGCGTAGTATACTGATACTGCAGCAAGTTTTACTGCTGGGACAGTATACTGCAGCAAGTAGTACTGCTAGCACAGTATACTGCTGCAAATGGTACTGCTGGCATAGTATACTGCTGCAAATGGTACTGCTGGAACAGTATACTACTGCAAATGGTACTGCTGGTACAGTATACTGCTGCAAATGGTACTGCTAGCACAGTATACTGCTGCTGCTGCTCCGTGCGGCCGAGGTGGAAGTGGTACTGCTGCAGGCGGTGTCTCGGCTACAGAATGCCGTTGGTGTAGTACTGGTAGTTGTCGTAGAGGCGCGTGGAGAGCGAGCGCAGCGCGTCGCGCACGAGGCGGTCGACGAGCGCCTGCAGCTGCTGCTCCGTGCGGCCGAGGTGGAAGCGCGCGCGGAATGACGACACCGCGCTGCTGCTGCGCAAGCACGACAGCTGCCCGCCTGCAACATACGTCTATTATAAATATACTGACATCTCACCTAACTTAACTTACCCCTGTCGTGTCGGCGCACCGGGTTTTCATCCTCCAAATAACTCTATCCGTCATATCAGTTATCACTCCCTTCTTTACCATGTGTCACCTTTCACGCACACCTCTTTCTAGGTCTACCATCATTCATAACTAACATCCTTTTTATTACATGCCATATATTACAAATATACTTGTCATACTTTTTAATTATCAAGCAAAAAGCCGTACTAAAATTAGGAGGAAGATTTTGATTTTTGTACGTTTTGAAAAACTCTGAATTTACTGTGCTGATCAAAAATTCTTTCTCCATTATAACCTACGTTATCTAAATTTATGCTATGCATGATGCAATGGTTATTACTTCAAAAACTTTTCACTGTGACCAACCATCAGCGTCAAAACAGCGAAAATCAAACGACAAAGTAACCTATCCATTTGTGTAGGTCAGTGTGCCGCAGTACTCACCCATGCGCATGATCTCCACGAGGTGTATGAGCTGGTCGCAGTGCTTGCGCGCCGCCAGCAGCCCGCGCAGCATCAGGATCTTGAAGTACGAGAACATGTCCGAATCCTCACCGTCCATCACCTCCACGAACTCGCGCGTCAACTGCACAAACAATACATTTTAATAAAAAGAAACAAAATTAAGAAATACAAGATAATAAAAACTTAATTGAATGACAAAAGAAATTTATCACTAGCTTTTGTCCACGACTCCGTCTGCATGGAATTAAAAAAACAATAGTGAGTAGAATATGTGTTCTTCCAGACTATGCTCTACATTTGTGGAAAATTTCATTGAAATCTATCATCGGTTTAGGCTACAAACTATAATAAACATCCATCCATCTAAACTTTCGCATTTATAATATTAGTAAGAAGTAATGAGCATTGCAATGCTAACCGGATTCGGTCCTCGCTCAACTTTGAATGCTGGGAATAATAATATAAATGCAAATGTTTAGATAGATGGATGTTTGTTAGAAGATACCTTCAAAATGATTTATCGGGTCTCGATCAAATAAGGCTAAGTGTAGAAATCTGGCAATCTCATAGACAAAGTATTAAGTTTTTTTGATTCCACTCATGCAGTCACAGACAAAAGTTAGTACTAACTTTATACTACTCCTTTTAACCAACTATTACTAAATTTATGCTACAGTGTTACAGATATTATATTATTATAATAATTAAATCTATAATTTACCTTAAAAGGCGAACTTTCAAATCCTAAATTCTTCGGTGAAGTGGAGAATATAAAACCAAAATCTATATGAATGATGTGTCCCTCACTGTCCAGTAAGATGTTACCATTATGCCTGTCAACAAACAATAACAATTAGAACACATTGCATAATTTTATTACTATTATTGTAACAATGTAATCAGACTGAGTATGTAACTGTGGTCTTAGAAAAAAGTAGATTGTAGACAGCTAAAGACGAATATATTCTCTTTAAGAATTCTGCTGAGCAACATTGCCATGATAATGGTAATTCAATCCAATGTCAAGACCAGTCATTGTCATTTGTAAATGAAAAGTTCACAAATCAAAACAATAAAAGTATTTATAATTTCACGGGAACAGCTCGTAGACAATAACCAGCCATACATCTTTTCAGTAAAGATCAGACGAATATGTTATTATGTAGATGCACAAATTACATCGATTTTGTTTTAAATGCTTGACACCCCGAACCCATCTATCGGTAGATAGTAATTATTGGTGTGAGTGTATCGAAGTACCTGTCCTTGAGCTGCAGCAGGTAGCTGGTGAGCGCGTAGGCGGCGGCAGACTCCACGAAGTTGTTCTGCGCGCGCAGGAAGCCCTCGCTGGTGGGCGCGCCGTGCTCCAGCTCCAGCCACGCGCGCAGCGCCCGCCCCGACTGCTTCTTGATCTGGTGTAGCGACACCGTGTTCAGCACCTGACACACATACACTGTTACCCATTAAATTCTTAAACTTAAACAATAATACATTATGTGTTTTTTTTTTAAATCAGCTCATATTGTAAAGTAAATAAACTTTAGTTTTTTTTTAACAACGTACATTTAAAACATTTCCAAACATATTCTAAAAGTCCTCAATCTGTGGTACACGTGTATTGACCGGCTGTACGAGTCCGCTTTATAAGGTACATGTGTACTGACCGGCTGTATGAGTCCGCACTCTGCGGTACATGTGTACTGACCGGCTGTATGAGTCCGCACTATGCGGTACATGTGTACTGACCGGCTGTATGAGTCCGCACTCCGCATCCAGGCAGAGTATCTCGTATGGGCGCAGCTTGAGCGGCACGCGCTCCGCTCGCCAGGCGGCGCTGAGCCGGCGCAGCAGCTGCGCGGCCAGCAGCTCCTGCCGCAGGTCGTCGCCCACCTTCACGATGCAGCCCAGCAGCCGCCATCCCGACAGCGAACCGTACGGAGACGACGACCGCATGCGAGCTAGTTTACTCTCCCACGATTCCTGAAATTACAAACACAACACGGTTAATTAATAATTATCAGAATAAAAACTTTACATTTGTAATGTAAAACTTTTATTTGCAAATGACGAAATTATACATGTATAACAAAGGACTTTGCCATTGGCTCACAATTACTTATACCATGACAATCTTGCTTTTTTGCTGTTATTGGCTTGTAGTTTTTTTCCTTTCCCTCGTGACGATTTTGCCCATTTTTAAGTCCCTAAATTAAACTGCTTGAAAATATATAGCTTAAAGACTTTCATAAGTTTGATAATTTAAAAAAAAATATTTAAAAACATACTGTGTTTGCCTATCCTACGTAACAAAGAAATGTATTAACACTTTATAAAATTAAATATAGAGTAACATTTAAATATAAAACAGCTAGTCCATTTGACATTTGAGATTAAATACGCTTTAATAAGACAAAGTATAATTGAAGTTACCTTGAGTGCGAGCGCGGAGGGGTCGGCGGGGTCGTGTCGGAAGGCGTTGGGCGGCGGCGCGGCGGTGGCGTCGGCCAGCCGGCGCCGCACCTCGCCCGCGCCCACCGCCAGCGACTCGCGCGACCCGCACGACGACGCGGACTGCAGCGACGCCGCCGACATACACGACATCTACACACACACATAAATTACAAATACACTCTTAGAAAGATAGAAAAAGCAGACATACACGACATCTGCAGAGACACAAATTACAAATACGCTCCTAGAAAGGCAGATAAAGCGGACGTGCACGACATCTACACACACACAAATTACAAATACACTCCTAGAAAAGCAGATAAAGCGGACATACACGACATCTATACACACACACACACACAAATACTCTCTTAAAAAGAAAGAAAATGCGGAAATACACGACATCTGCACAGACACAAATTACAAATACACTCCTAGAAAGGCAGATACAGTGACATACACGACATCTACACACACACACAAACACACTCCTAGAAAGACAGAAAAATAGTCACTTCGGACTGCAATTGAATTCGTAACATAATTTATTAATAAGGAAACGCTTGACCACAATCATAACGGATGAGTATCGTAAGATGGTACATGCTAATTTAATATGTACAGTCGGGGAACCTAGCGATGGTCCACTTTATAAGCAACGATTGAACATTTTGAAATGAGATTGGAAAACAAAACCAAAACAACGCAAAAACTTACAAGATGAAATCTACTTAGTTATATCTAGTTGCTATCTTCATTAACTCAAATATAATAACACCTAACATGTTACCAATTCATATAATGTTATAAATCGTTCCAGAAAAATTCTATACATTGTTTTTAACAATCGTACTATGAAAAATTCGCTTGCTTTTAAAACTGAAAGAGTCGAGCAGTGTTTTTATATGAAAGGATAACAATCGTAAGAGCGAACTGTACCTCATTTGTATAAGCATTGCCTATTCTATTACATTTATCGATATTACATCGAATAAAAAAATACTGTTGACTACTGACTACTGACTACTGACTGAAGATAACAAAGCCAATCCTACGTCGAAATACATGAGAACTAAGACTGATCGGGTGCACATCTTCGACTAAACTATCGCACAACTGTTCTGCAATTGTCGATTGTTACGCCGCCAATTCAACTGTTTAGTTGCACAACTAAAAATCGAATAGTACACCTCCATATAAGCTTGCAGTAAAAAAGAGACAACAGTTGTTTGATATAGTTTCAGGTGTACGCTCTAAACGTAAGAGACATGAATGATTACTAGTAAAGACCTGTGTGACGTCATACCTGGGATAGTGTATCGGGTGCGGGCAGACGGGAAGTAGCGGTGTATTGAGCTAGATCATCATCATCATGACTCCAGCAGTCACCGGCATCGTCTTCATGTGCGGTATAAGGTACTAACGAGGGCCACTCGGGTACTAAGTTCTCCTCGCTCTTCGTATGCCGGATGGGGGGTGAGTGCGGCGCGGGCGGCGCGGGGGGGAGCAAGCGAGACGGCAACGGTTCATGCCCTTCCGTCTCTAGTACTTCCACGTACATTATATATGGCGCCTGCAAATAAAATTAAACATATCTGAAACTAACATATAAATAAATGTATTTCAATGTAGATCAACAAATTCGTACACTTTCAAGCAATAGTAACCTTGCATTAATCCCACACGTCGATTAAGGTCACCTCCCACGGAGAACAATCATAAAATTTAATAATTCGTACATTACGTGTTAATATCATAGACGTAACTGATAAAAACATCCTTATTGTCTTTGGCTGTTATTCAATTTAATAATTTTGATTAATCGTCTTACTCAAAGTCGTTAAACGGTCATCAAGGCTTCACTAAGCGACTTAACTGCGATAGGTAGGGTAGCCTACTGTATTTGTAGGTAGACTAGCCAGCGACTCTGTTCGCGTGGAAAAAAACAAAAGTATGCAGCTTGAGTGTTCTCCCAGACTATCCTCTACATTTATGCCAAATTTCATAGAAATCCGTTTAAAAGTTTAGGCTACAAACTTACAAACATGTAAACTTTCGCATTTTCTTTTAAGGAGAGGTTGGGAAGAGGAGTGGATTTGACGGTGGAGGAGATGCATAGGAAGGGGAAATATCCTCTTTATGTGCGTCTCCTCCTCCGTCTTATAAGGGTAGGCAACGCATCTGCAATTGCGGATGTCTATGGGCAGCGGTCGCTTCGCCATTTTGGCGATTTCAGGGGCCGCTTGCTCGTTTGCCACCTTATGTTATAAAAAAAATATAAAATATAAGTAAGATTATGTACGTCTAAGACATATACAGTTCAGAGTACAATCCAATTGTTATGTCCATTGACATTAATATGAGAAACCTTGCCTGTGAGGCGGTTCGTAGAAAACTAGACGTATGTAAAGTGCTTCGCATAATTCAATTTACGTTATTTGTATTGTAACAAAGAAAAGAAATATTCAAATTGTGTTACATTTAAAAATGGTTTTGTAATTCATTCGTTTAAAATAACTACATATCTCTGCTCTATGTTTGTAGACTACAACCGCGTAAAGTACTGTACCGTAGTAATGTTAAACATCCGACCTGATGTTGAACATTCACTTGTCCTCGCTTTAGCTAACAATATCTGCAATAAATAGGGGTTTAGACACGAGGACAAGACATATCACATCCGGTTTCAACAGCTCGAGATATTCAAGACATCTTACTTAAATTATAAATGCGAAACTTTAGATGGATGGATCTTTGTTAGAGTTTATAGCCTAAACTGCTGAACGGATCTCGATGTAATTTGGCATATAGAGGATAGTCTGGAAGAACACATTAGGATATTTCCTTTTGTTTTTTAAAAGCCCATGTAGATGGAATCGCGTGCGAAAACTAGTTTTGTTTATAATTTGAAATTATTTGTATTTTGGAGCAGGCGTTTGTAACAAGACAAAACACTGTCCGGGGACATTGCATTTATGTATAGGTATAAATTATATTCGGAGATAGAAATGCCAGTATTTGGCACCATATTACTAGAAAGTAGCTAGTATATTTAATTTTGTATGAGTTACGTGCATATAACTTAAGGGAGGGGACAAGGTGGGACAAGAAAGTTGACACTGACGTCTCGTCGCGTCTGACCTTGTATATACGTGAGCAACAACAAGACTACACTCTACATAACATTGTTTCACCGCACCCAAGAACAAACAAATGATATAATTTTGCGAGGCTATATTTCTAAATTGAGTTTTGTGTAAAATTTCAATTTTAAATATACAAGTGTATACCATACCTTATCCTTGCTGTTAAGCACAGCAGCGGCATGCGGTGGTATCCTCAGCACATAGTGAGGCCTGTGATGCAGCGGTAGCCACACACGCGCCGGCAGATTGAGATCGAGTGAGGCCAGCTCTGCTCGTAAACGCCCGTTCCGACGCTCCTTATCCGCCACGCCAGCCAGCAGGCGACCGATGTTCGTCAACGCCGTAAGAAACTGAAAAGTTGATGATAAAATATTGAAATAACTGACGTAATACTTTGTAACGGGAATTAAAAAAATAACACCTTTTTATTTTTAAGGACTGAAATCGTCGTCATGAAAATTAGCACATACGTGGGTATATTCCTACGAAATATCGATAAAATGGTATAAGTTGCGTTAATATAAGAAAAAAACTAAATAAATTGATATTTTATTAGCAGTTAAGTAGGCTGTTGAAGTACCGTGACCCCAATACGGAGGTTAAATTAAATAAGCCTACGGAGTGTAACCCTATTAACCGGCTACCATTTCATTAAATCACGGACATAGGATGAGGGTTAGATTGTTAAACAAAATGAGGGCATGACCTCAAAATATTTAACAAATAGGTTATCCTTTACCATATAAAGGAATAGTACTGTCATTAGGAGTAGGTCACAGTTGGGCAATCGCCCAGAACGCCTGACTCACAGACTCATGTCAGAACTCTTATATAAAATTTGACTAAACGCCCGCTAGTTATGGTAAAAAAGCGGGAGGTTTATGGTAAAAAAGAGACTCCTAGAGAGTCTAGATCTACTGGGCTATGACTGGCATAATAAAATAAGTTATCTATACTCTTAATTTAATTTTTTTTGTCTAATTTAAATATATGGAATCGTATTGACACATATAAAGCATAAAACCCAGGAATCGTTTTACAGTTGCTATACAAATGCGTGTAAAAGTATTATGTCATTAATTGTAGAGGCGTGCCTTTCGTAATAATCATATTTTTTTATGATGTTATCATACTACTTTTTGTCACTATTAATAGATTAAAATTATTAATTTCATTAAATTACTAATAATTTTAAATAAAAATTTCGGACAGATAGAAGTGAACGTGTTAATGAGCTTGCTTTTGAAAAAAAAAACAGTATTGTAATAATATGCATTTGTAATTGCTATATTTCTGTCATTACTAATTATAGAGTCTATACAAAATCGATATATCTAAAAATAGTATTGAACTGTATATCTTATGAACACGCAATATTTAGGGGTGTCCCAACATGACTCATGGGAATCAATAGCCATAATTGCAAAGTTACCACCGGGTGTAGGGGTGTCGACGATTGCACTTTGTTAACGTCGGAAATTCCATTGCCATTACGTCACTACTTTGTTAAAATCGATAGTAATGAAGATATCTACTGACCTTTTATTGGGAAAACCGTGTAATATACAGACTACGTTCTTTACATGATTTATGTATAGTACTAATTGAAAGAATCTGTAAGATTGAATGATTACTTTCATCTAATAGATTCAATTATTTTTATACATATAATATAATTATAAATATTAATTTGTATGTTGACACAAGTGAGATAATAAAGTAAAATTGTTTAGTATGTACAGAGTAAGAAACAAAAGTTACGTGATTATTTCCGTCTATACCTATCAAAAAAAGTGTATGAGCACGTAAAAAATACATTTATAATATATTGCCTTCTGAATTAGCTGTTTAGAATAAATTTTATCAACAAAACGTTCAACACAATGAAAATATGTGACAAAATATATCTTTGAGTTTTTAAAGGCTTTATTAGCTAAAATATATCCACAGCGTCATTTGCCAAATAATTATAATTTTTACTTAACTTACATACCTCACGTAATTCCCAAAGCAATTACTGATTACTTGTCGTCTAGCCATATTTAATCAATACTTTATATTAAGGTTTCACTTTATGTTTAATTTAACAAATTTGCTAATATATTTTTATCAAAATATATGTCTTAATTCTGATGTATGCAGAAATGTTCACACTTTTCTATAACAATTCGTCGGTCACAAAGTTTACAAATGGCTGTTCCATTCGTTGTGATACCACGGACAAGCGCACTTCGCAAACTAGTATCGTAAGTCCATTCTAATCAAACACATTCACACATATTTATCAGGGTGGCGCCACAAGCCAACACTTAATTACATTAAAGTGTTTGTTGTCCTTTGAAGCTTATAACAATGAGTCATTTTGACTACTGAAATAGATTTATCTAAACCACTTGTTGCGTCAAAATATGTCGCAAACTTATTTTTAAGTAGATTTCAGTTTAATAATTTGCATATTCTTTACATATAGTTTACTTCATGAGAATAATTTTGAAATATTGAATATGATATTATACATTTCGTATTTTCTTTTGTTATGCATACAGGATTATAATAAAGTAAAATATAATAATATTTTAACGTATAAATTAAAACTATTGTATAGTAATTTAATGTCTAGAGTAGTTTAAATTTTTAAAATCAATCTACAATGTTTACCAATTTAATATTACTTGCAAGCACAAATCTTTTAAAAACTTTTGTTAATTGTGCACTTATGCTGCATTCTTTTTTACGTGTTGTATGTTATGCTGTGTTGTGAAATTTAATCAGCTTGTTGCAAGTACGCTATTGCTAACAGCGTTGAAATGAAAGTTAAAAATAACCAATTACCGTGCTTAAATAAAATATGTAAGCTACTGTATCTATCGTTAAAGATATAACACTAACCTGTGTTTGTGGAGCTAATCTGGGGGCGCCGCAGGAGCATTGTTCCCCGCAGAGGCAGCCGTTGTCAAAGGCGCGGCCAGACGCCAGGTCGCCCAGGTGCCGACCCGAGGGTGTAGTGATCCTGAGCGCGGAAGCGTCCGACTGCGACCTGTGGTGACCCCGCCGCGCCGCCGGCCTTATCTCCTCCGCGAGTATTGAGTCCCGCAGCTTAGCCGCCTTGGACCTCTTCGAGTCGCCGCCGAAGGCCGTTAATAGCCACGCGAGCCGCAGCGAGAACTCTGCACTCTGTTTGCAGCGGTGCACTAAGTACGGCCGCAGAACGTCCGCCACGTCGCTCATCTCTATGTACATGGTCGCCAGCTGAGGCAAGTAAAAGTCCACGTCCTCGTACGGGAACGAGAACATCTTATTGGCCAGATACGTCTGGACACCCGATTCTTTGGAGTTGAACAGGTATGATATCGCCATGCTCATATCGAACAATTTGCTTTCGAATAGTCTGAGAAGAAAGCCCTTGTTTTTGGAGGTGTCCACGGTGGATATGTGACTGGGTATCGACGGTATAGTGTCGGGAGGGTCGGGCGGCTTATCTGTGTCTTCTGGATTGCCGGAGTCGAGGCTTTCGCGGCTGCGCGCGGCGGCTGGCGGCTGCGGCCGATCCTCGTCGGCACCGTCAGGTGGTGTGTGGATGCCGGAGTCGTCGGAGCCCGCGGGGACGCCGGGGGGCAGCGCAAGCCGCGGCGTCGCGACGTCGCCTGGCAGCCGCAGCGGTGCGCCCTCGCCCGACGTTGGCGTCATGTCCTCCGGTATCCTCTGTAGGACCGAGTCCAGCGATCTGTTCCTCTGGTGGCCACATCCCGCCGGTGGCCCACTCGCACCCGTCACATGTCTGCGAAAAGAACACACAGACGGTTAAAACAATTACGACTACATTCGCTAAGTATGATACAAACAAGGATCACGTTTATTTACACACAACGTACTTATAGAAAGGGTCTTCGTAATAACGTATACCGACAACGACAATTTTCCGAACCATTTGATATGTTATAAATCACGAGTTAGCCACAAACTTTTAACACGAGCACACTAAACACTATTAGTGTCTTTCACACGGCCATATCCGCACGCAGTGTGTACTGTGTACATGAGCGCCGGGAGTACGTACTCCGGCGATCGTCAGGCGGCAGCAATACGCACGACCTAGCTGCGAGCGAGCGCGCGACCGACTGCTTTGCGCAAGGAAACAGCAACACCGCCTGCATACCAGTCGAATAAGGATCACCTCGATTACGTCCGCGGCCGAAACGCGACCAAACAACTGGCAAAACGCATAAACAAAACATCTAGGTTTAGCACGACGTCACTAGCTCTTATGCATGTTTTGTGGGTAAAAGCAGTTGTGCAAACAGACGCACGATTAAGCAAATCGACGTATGTAATTATTTCAAGGACCAAAATATGTTGAGCTTTATATCTTAAAAGTAAGTAAATTATGAGTTTTTATTCAGTTTCATTGCGAAGATATATACGTTTAAAATTTAAGTTACATTTCTTTCGTTTCCCTGTAGCATTATGTCGTTGTTGACAATTTTTACCATATTCTTATTTACTTTTTTTTTATTTTGTAAAGGAATTGTAATTCCTTTACCCTTAACTTAACTCTTAATCTACTAAAATATATTTCAATCAATTTCTATCTGAAGCTTAACATTACTTACATATAAGTCTTGGTAGTAAACGATATAGGGAATGGAATCCCATTCCTAACATTATAAAAGGCTAACGCGGCTGCCAAATTCGTATACGCTGGTTGAATTTCAAAGCAATTCCTTATTAGATCGTATTAAATCAATTGCGTCGAGTGCGCGACGCAAACACAGTTAGTTAGCAATGTAAATATGTATCTAATCATAGAGTGGGCACGTGCAATATTTGTATGCGGCGTCTGAGCGCAGCTGAACGGGGGAGTCCGTGACATAAGATTTACGAAAGCATAATATAAAAAGCCCGATGGAGAAAGCGGACGACGACCTCGTACGATTTGTAGCGTTAGATCAATTCAGAGACGCGTAATACGACGGCTATTGCATTGAGATTGAGAAGCAAACGAAAAGCAGCAATAACATAACAGCCAAAACTGAATTTGCGAAATATAAAACCAACTATCTATCTATCTGTAAGTACTGCCTTTCAGGTCTTTGTGGCTCTATATTTCGGATAAAAAGCATATTTTCCCTAGTTGTGGTCACATTATATCTTCTAAATTAACATTATGAAGAGGAAAGATTTGTATTTTTATATACTATAAAAAACTCAAAAACTAATGGATCGATTTCAAAAATTCTTTTACCCTTAAAAGCTACGTTATCGGTATACTAATATAGGCTTAATTTTTTCTAATTTCATATGGTCGAAGTCGATTTCGGCGTAGTAAAAAAATATACAAAGACGTTACAAAAATCCTTATAAAACCCTAACCTATTAAAAAGGGAATCGTTTAAAAAAAGAACCCTCAATTCGGAACAAGAGAACGAGTGAGCAATGAATAGTGCGTTTATTTATAACGTTATCGGGTCTGTGCGTGCGCAGATGTGCCGACGATGAGCTAACGGCGAGGGCTACAACGCCCATTCACTTCTACTAATGACCTTAATTCAAACAAAAAAGAAATGCTTCGAGTGTTTAAAGCTTTGTTAATGATCTCGTATTAAAAGAACTGCGCCCTTCACTTTAGGGCTGCTGTTTTATGTAACTGACGGGTTAAAAGTACTATACTAATATTGTAAATACAACAAGTATCTTGTAGAATGTAAGAGAAAAAAATAATGGAAGAAAACGTAGTCACTTCACTTCACAAAGTACAAAAATACACTTCGGATGTCTGTAATTAAAAAAGATCAAAGCTGACAATAAAATCTGAAATGTTTTTTTCTATTTCGTGTTGTGATCAAGAATATAAAATGTGGTGACGAATGATCGATTAGTAACGATAAACTTGGAACGACTTGTGGAAGAGAGCCAAATAGACGCACACCATTACTGCAAATCAGTTTGAAGTTCTTTTACTATGCTAATGGAATCTATAATTTATAACGCCAGTAATCAAACTTAACACAACTTTTGATAAATAAACAATCGGTATGTCTTTAAAGAAAAATTAGCTTTTGCTTTCGACGACGTCCGCTTGGTATTAAAAAAAGTGAGTAGCCTATGTGTTCTTCATCAAGATCAGTTCAGCAGTTTACAAAATCTAACCAACATGCATTCAAACTTTTGCATTTATAACATTAGTATGAAGTACGAAGTATGACATGTTCTTAAAAATCTTTTAAATTGACAAATCCAATGTCTTTATTTATTTAGTTATTTACATGACAGTATCATAAAAGGTTATTTTGAGAATATTCCATATGTACCTTTACATAGAAACACCCAACATAAAAATAAATTGATAATATCTGGACGGCGCCATGCTGATGTCAATTGAAGTTCGCTCCACTGAACAATCATTTGACATTCAATCATCAACGACAAAAATAGACTACAATTACTGACAACATTGTTTTTTGTATTCTATAAAAACCTATAATCATCCGTTTCCTTATTGTGACGGAGATGTCAAGGAAAATTGGACAAAAAAAACCCGCTAAGGAAATAGTACCAACATACATACTGTAAAAGATTACTGCATCTAACATTATCTGAAGAAAACTCTGATATAGCAATAAACTAAACGAATAAACAATATTTTGTTTACTGTACTTTTCACAATTATGTAAATTCGTCTCATTTTCGACACCATAGAAGAATGAGTTTTAAAATCGTGTACAACATCATATTAGTTCAAATTATAATATATCTACATACCATTTAAATAGAGAAAGAAACAAAATATTCCACGATAGTTTTGCGTAACACCAACGAGGACGTACAAAACTTTTCCATCCACGACATAATATTAAATCAAAGTTAAAATTCAATGAGGTTAATGCATAAGAAATATATAATAATTTTACATTTAGAGTAGTTTTTAAAATTCAACAAAAAACTTCCGCAAAGTGATGCAAATATTGGAGTTACAATTTGGTATCATTCAAATGATTGCATAGTAGTAGTGTTTAATTTCTTTTTTAGCGGAATAATATAGGCATACCTTTTTCAAGATCAGCATTTAGTAACGTGTCATCAACTTGCCCTTATCCCCTACGGAGGGTCGGCACAGCATGGTCTGCTCTTCCATGTCCTGAATCCACTCCCTTCTTAAAATCATATCCTCTTTCTCACAATCCATCTATACTTCCTTCAGTCTCCCTCTACCTTTGTAGCCATCCTCATTCAATCTTAACACTTTCTACATTTATGATAGCAACGTGTGGTTACAAGAATTCATTTTCTCCTTTTATCAGTACCAAGAACCGGGTATTATCAGTGCATAATTAGCCATAGAGTATCAAACTTCGTTAAGTGATGGACACCTTCCTCGTATATCCAAATCGTTTCTGCAGAACCTTAAAACTACCCACTGTATTATGTCAAATCGGATCCAAACTGTGGGAAAACTAATATTAGGCTGTGTATCATTTTTAGGAGAAAAGTAGCTTTAAATCTAATAAAATGTAATATCCTGTATGTTATAATATATCCGTTTCAAATAACAGGTATATGTATTTAAATTCGGTTGTGCAAACATTGTTTCCGTTCTGTTACCGAAATGTACTATGAATTTTGATATCTAGTTTTAGTCACAATTACAACTAATTGAATCTCAATAAATTTAAATTCTAAATATCTGTTATTTACGATATTATTTCACTAGTGTCGTAGATCTTGATGCTTGTCAATGGAAACTCAGTTAAAACACAACAAACGTTGAATTTCTCAACATGAGTGACGTCAACGACGAAACAACGTGGAATTGATTGGTGCCGGTGATTTGCATTGTTATGTATTTGCCGGTGAAAGCGATCCGTACTGGAATCTAAAGATCAGATCGTTATCTTACTACTGATGAATTGAATGATTACTATAAATTACAATTGATAAGAAAAATACTATTAGACAGATATAAATCAGTGCCTAATTTGTTTTTTTTTTTTTCATAAGTTTGTAAACTTTATTGATATGATGTGAATGTATTGTCATATACAACATATATCATAACAGTTAAAACGTAATGTAAAAAAGAAAAACCGTTTCATAAAAATACTTTTAAAATATCCAACTTTGAAAAACTTGCTCTTTAAAAACTCAACAAGACCTACATAAAAGAAAATCGTACTTGATCCATAAACTTACTACTTGAGAATGCAAAAAGTTCTTATAAGGAATAACTCGGTACAAGTGGTTAACTAGTTTCTAGACTAGATTTCGCATAAAAAAGCAAAAAAGCGAGTAAAGCGCTTTACGTGTACTAGAAGGTTCGTGCTTGACAAATTGCGGCGAAAGTGAACGCCTCTTGCGAGTAGCGACCTTGCTTTAGTGTCTACGACCGTACATACTTTCTTATGTGACGAATTTCCACTATCTTTATATAGTTTATAAAGTGTAAATTGTAGCTGTACTTTCTATTTTCTACTGGCATTCTTTATCGATACTGATATTGTAAAGAGGAAAGATTTGTTATTATAGAAAATAACTCAAAAACTACTGGGCTGATTTCGAAAATATTTACACTATTAAAAAGCTTCGTTATCAAAGATAACATGGGCGATTTGTTTTTTAATTTGACGCGGGGGAAGTCGCGAGCAACAGCTAGTTGTTTATATAGCGAGTGAATTATTAATGTACCAAGTTTACAAAATGTATTACAATGATTGAATACGTCTGGTTGGTGATAACAGACGCACTTGTGCAAATTCAGTATTTACGCATGTACAAAGAGCTTTG